GCAGTGGTGTGGGCTACTTGACTGAGTATACTTATAGTTATTTCTTGATTATATGCTAAGCAAGCGGTGGACTATTCATGAGTTTTCTGGGAAAGGGATGGGCAAATCCCAGAACTGAGGGTTCCCCCTTTTTAGACCATATAGGGTAACTTCCCGATGTTGCCATGGCATTTGTAAACTGTCTTGACACTGGTGGGAGTGTCTCTTAGCATGCTAATACATTATAATTAGTGTATAATAAGCAATGAGGACCACCAGAGGTCACTTTTGTGGCCATCTTGGTTTAGGTGGGTTTTGGCTGGCTTCTTTACCACATTCTGTTTTATCAGGAAGGTCATTGTGACCTGTATCTTGGGCTGACCTCCCATTTCACTCTATAACTAAGAACGCCTGAACTCCTGGGAATGCAGCCCTACAGTAGGTCTCAGCCTCATTTTACCCCGTCCCTATTCAAGATGGAGCTGCTCTGGTTCAAATGCCTCTAACATATTTCTCTCCTCTCCTTTACAAGGGGACCCTTAATCCTAAGGGTTGCAGAGGGATGAAGATCCATCTTCTGTAACTTCTTCAGGCTGAATAGTGGCAATGATATTGCTGCCTAACTATCAGTGTCTTTTGTATTCAGGGTAGAGAGAAGCTTGGTCAGAAAGCATCAATATGCAGATGGCCATTCATAACTCTTGATTTCCCACAAAAGATAATATCTGGAATATTAATAAGTGTTCAATTTAAGAAAACATTCAGTAAGCTTATACTGCATTCCTACACAAAGGGTGCAAAAGCAATATATTCTACAAGAGTAGAGCAAAATAAACAAAATTATCCTAAGTAAACTAACAAGGCTTTTTGTGAAGTGGGCAACTGTTGGAACCAAGATGATATGGGGTCACTAACTGATTCCAGTACTTGCCCAGAATTAGAATACTAATCCAGATTTTTATATTACCCATCCATCTTGTTTCTTCTGAGCTGCAGTCAGAGATCACTGGTTGATTCACAGGAATAGGCAGGGTCAGTCTAAATTGCAGAAAAAAACTAAAAACTGATGGGACTAGAATCTAACCACAGGTGAACCATAGTTCTTGAAACATAATTTTTCTATCTCCTCATTTTGACTAAAGACAAATCATAATAGAACTGATTTGTTTGCAAAAGTAAGCTTTAGTATTATACTTGGCCTGATTATTTATATGAAGTTCAGCAAGAATAATTATTTTTCACATAGGTTCTTTTTAAATTATCTCTGATGAAACTTTATTCCATCAGGAATTTCAGTTAAGAGTTTTAAAAAACTTCTTGAGCTCAGCCATGGTTTTGTACCATAAAATACCTATGAGTTGGATAAATTCCCCTCCTCTTGAGGTCCCAAGATAACTTGGGGCTCCTGAGCCCATCAGAAAATGACATTCTTCACTTACCAGAGGTCAGGAACCCTGTACAGTGACTGCATAGACAAGGTATGAGGCCAGTTTTCCCAAGGAGCTTTTATTGGCTGTGTAAGTCAAGTTTAATTCCTAAAAGGAAAGCACGCTATTCCAGTCAAACACTTGGTAATACAAAGTTTATCCAATTGTGTCCTGTTGCAAAAGAAAGCATTCTTTTTCACTTATGCAAATAACTATATTGCCGTAAGTTAAGCATACTCACAAGTAGTTTCCAAATTCTGGAGAAATCAGAGAGAAATATGCTCTAAAATTTTCTTTACAGGAGTATTACCACAAGCTATAGAAAACCCAAAAATTTTCTTCACTCTGAAAAACAAGCAAAGAATTAGCAATATTTTAAGCAAAAAGTCACAAAATGATTATTTCAGTCATTCCTTGTTAGTTCAATCCATGCAGTTAACTCCTGTTCTGTTTGATATTCATGAACATTTCAGCTCTCCATGAGAATCATGAAAGTTTTCTCCTCTATCCTAATGTCACAATCTCCAAAGTTATCAGAAACCTGCATTCAAGAGCACCTGTCAAAGTCCTATTGCTGATTATAAGGCACCTTTAAAAGAGGATCAAAACAAGACAACAGTTGTCTGTGAATGACAAAAAGTCTTAGGGCAGTCACAGTCAGACATGATTGACAAGGAAATGTGGTTACCTTTATGGCACACAATAATATTATGTAACAATTATAATTACTAACAATACACTAAGTCATATTAGAATTATAGGAGCTTCCCATAATTTCGGAACACATAACCAAGAACGTATTTATTCAAATATAGCCCAAAGAAAGGCAAACATAAGTTTATATTTTATAATGCTTCCTGTATGATTTCTATAGATATCTATACCACATTAAGTCAAATATGGCTCTTCTGGACTTTAGGGGACCTAATATGAAAAGATTAATTAGGTCAGAAAAAGACATAATTTATCGTTTGATTTTGGAAAGTTTGTCAAATAGCGAAGGTTTAAGCACTTGATATTACAAACATAGAATCTCAGGTCACCATAAGTCATTCATTTAGCCAAAATGATAACTCAAAAATTTTAAAAAGACAAAAAAACTTTACTCATTAATACAGGGAAGACAGCTTTCCACACAATGTCTCTTTTCCTTCCTGTCTTTTTCTTATAGTTTAGTCAAAAGGCAAACAGAATTTCATTTTTCAAAAGATTACACAAAAATCTTATTCAAGAGAGAAAGCCAGATTTTACCCTTTGCATTAGTGTACTGTTAATGTCAATCCTAATTCTTAATAAAAGCTTATAGACAAATCTATTCAATCTTAAGCAGTTAGACCAAAAGGTAAGATTCCCTTAAGCCTTTTTAAACTCGACAAATTTTTGTTAAGGAGCAGATCAGTGCTCTAAGAACACCCTGTTGTGCTTTTATTCCAATGTTCAATTTACAGAAAAACTGAATAAGACCCCTTTAACTTTAGCCAGTATGTTCACACAGAATTTCCTTCACAAGATTAATTTTTCACAGATCTTCCACAATTTGCTCAAACTTTCAGGATAAAGAATACTTACAACCCCTTAGCCTTCTAAACTAGGCTAAAAAAAATTCACATTCCCATGCCTTCTTATAATCTTTTACCAAAAACACATTTCACTTTCCTTACACACCTTGCATGTTAAAACTGTTTTTCCAGTAGTCTCAATTATATGTTACAATGTTAACTCTTAGCAACTTTTATTTTTGGTGAAAAACCTGGTAAGTGATTTTAATTAGGTACTAGGTGTGAAGCTTAGGACACCAGACAGAAGTACAAGATAAGATCTGATACTCTCCAGCATAGCCAGGGGGCATGGCGAATTCTTCATATCCCCAGGCCTTATCTAAAATCTAATGTCTCTAAAGCAGGTATACCAAACAATTTTCAGAAGTCAAATAAGCAGTTTATGACTTTAAAGCATTTAGTAAATCTAGTATCTTATCTGCCTAATTTAGACCAAATGTCTAAGTTTGGAAGACATTTTTATTTTACCAATCATCTTTAAAACTGTCTTTATTTCCCAAAGCTTACTAAAGTCACATGAACTAAAAAGCATTACAGTTTTTATTTTTCTGACAAAATATTTGATTTAAGTGCTTATTATTTTTAAACCAATTAATCAGAGCTCTTTCATAAATAAACATTACACATACAACACATATGAATACACAACAGACAGAAGATCCAATAGTTGTAAGATTTTTCATTTGCCAATTTTTAAGTTTCTTAATTGACTTACTGGCTTCAGAGAGGAGCCCTTTGAGGAACAGGGCCAAGAAAGCATGTAATTTCTAGAGCCTAATAGGCAGGCATAGCTGGAAGGCAAAACAGATTTAAAAAAATTAAGGGTCCCATTTTTATACCAGATGTTGAATCCCCAAAAAGAGGAAATCAGTCCACATCCTTTGGGACTCTTATCTCTCAGTGTGGCAATAGGGACACTTCCATATCTTCCAGGTGGCCAAGAGTATGCTTCTCTGATCCAAACATGCAAAGAGCCGAGTATCCTCCCTCCATAACTTCCATTAGCCATCCCTAAAAGTATGTTTCCTAGTTATTACAAACCAAAGCTCTCTCATAATGAGAAGTAATTTCTGATAACCACAAAAGTCAAAACCATCAGATAACACAATACAACATGAAACACAGCATTAGATTTTGAGAAGGATTTATTTATCCCCTTTCAATTCCAGTGGTTTCATAAGGAAAACAGAAGGTTTTTTCCAAAACGGGATCTGTGGCAACTCCTCTGCTTTTCCCAAGGCCTCCCAGGCTGTTAGAAATTATTTTAGATCACCTCATGTGTATCAAGAGTGGCAAGAAGACAAAATGGAGAAAAACAATTGTATTCATACATTTTTTTTTTCTTTTTTCTTTTTCTTTTTTTGAGACAGGGTTGCCCAAGCTGGAGTGCAGTGACGTGATCTTGGCTCACTGCAAGTTCCGCCTCCCAGGTTCACACCATTCTCCTGCGCCAGCCTCCCGAGTAGCTGGGACTATAGGTGCCCACCACCTCGCCCAGCTAATTTTTTGTATTCTTAGTGGAGACGGGGTTTCACCATGTTAGCCAGATGGTCTCTATCTCCTGACCTCATGATCCGCCCTCCTTGGCCTCCCAAAGTGCTGGGATTACAGACATGAGCCACTGTGCCCGGCCCTGTATTCATCCATTTTCACCCTGCTGATAAAGACAAACCTGAGACTAGATGATTTACAAAAGAAGAGCTTTAACGGACTTACAATTCCACATGGCTGGGGAGGTCTCACAATCATGGTGGAAGGCAAGGAGGAGGAGCAAGCCATGTCTCACGTGGGCGGCAGGCAGAGAGAGAACCTGTGCAGGGAAACTCCTATTTTTAAAACGCTCAGGTCTCACGAGACTTATTCAGTATCGCAAGAACAGCATGGCAAAGATCCGCCGCCATAATTCAGTTACCTCCTACTGTGTCCCTCCCACAACACATGGGAACTGTGGGAGCTATAAGAGGAGATTTGGGTGGGGACATAGCCAAACCCTATCAACAATTTAGTCAACTGAGAAGAAAAAAAATTTTTTTCCCCAGAGAAATAAGATCCAAGAAGAGAAAAATTATAAAGACCTTTTAAATATACATATAGCTCATATATCTGCTTTTAATTAAAACTGACTTTTAACCATAACACTTTAAAAATCCTCTTAAATTTCTTATTACCTGACTTTAGCCAGGCCAAACAATCCATTTTTCTGGCTTTTAAACTCTACCAAAAGTAACCTCCCAGATGAAACCGGTAAGCCTTCACTAAGGTTATGACTTAATCACAAGTGCACCAGTATTTTAAAATAGATGATTAGCAGTTTTTACAAGATTTAGAGTCTACAAGGTAGCTTGGAGAAAGGAAGATTCAAGAAGGGAAGACAGAAGTTGTTCATGGAGGGGAATAAAATCAACAAATGGCAAAGATCACACAAATATCAACCAGAAAGTACCAATTCCCTAAACCAGAAATTGAACCCTGAACCAGGGATGCCACTGTGAAAAGACAAAGCCTTAACTACTAAGCTACAGCACTGGGAAGTTTCCATTGCCATCCCAGAAAGGGCCTAGAGCAGACAGTTTTGAGCCAATGAAGGCTTTTAACCGCTCAAAACAATTTTTAGAGCTAACTATGTCATAAACTCCAAAATTGCTGTCCTCTGGATGACAGAGACTAAGAGAAAGTACTGCCACGTGGTTACAAGGTCAAGCTCCCAAGGAAGTAAAACAAGATGAGAGAGAAACCCTATCCAGCTTATGGAGTCCTAAGCCTGTGTTCTATCCCAAGGTACCTCCCCTTTATGAACGAATAACACAGAAAGACAAATTCAAAGCACAAAATACACCAGATTCGCTACAGCATTAAGACTAGCATGGTGAATCCTTTTACTCATTAATCAAAACGTTGCAAGAGCTGGTGATTTCTACCATTCCTGCAACTGGTTTGTACAGAGAGAGGAACAGGAAGGGATAAAAGTGTTGCCTGTGGTGGAGTGGGGAAGCCAAGGAGCTCAGGGAGACTAGAGAAAGACCCAGGTGGCCACTTGTCGGTAGTGAAGGATGTTTCCTAGCAGTCCCATCAGCTCTCAAGTTTCCCCCTTTGGGGAGAAAAAAGCTCCCCATGTCTGGTGATCCTGTACATGCCTAATCCTGTCACCCATAGCTGACAGCAAAGAGTGCAAGGCAGATTAATCCAAACAGAATAGCAGTTAACATCCCATAGTGTCAAATCCACTTTTAACCAAGAAGGACTTTACTGAGAGGGGCCTCTAACCCCTAAATCTTCGGAAGGACTCTAACCTTTCTAAATTGGGCCTCAAACTCAAGTTCCGTTAAGCATCCTTGCCTTTTATTAGGAGGGACCTTAACCCTCTCTATCTTAGGAGATACTCTCCTAAGTTCGACCTCTAACCCAATCTGATCCTTTGCCTGGGCAAAACATATCCCATCCCTTACCTAAAGTTGGCCAATTGGCAGTGCTATAGTCTATTTCCTTTGGGTCCATAGAATTTTCCTCAGTATAGTCCCTTCATGGTTTCCAGGAAGATGTTACTAAAAAGGAGTCCCAACCCAGACCCCAAGAGAGGGTTCTTGGACATTGCTCAAGAAATAATTCAGAGTGAGTCCATAAAGTGAAAGCACGTTTACTAAGAAAGTAAAGGAATAAAGGAATGGCTACTCCATAGGCAGAGGAGCAGTGTGGGCTACTTGACTGAGTAGACTTACAGTTATTTCTTGATTATATGCTAAACAAGGGATGGATTATTCATGAGTTTTCTGGGAAAGGGTTGGGAAGTGAAGTTTCCACCCCTTTATAAACCACATAGGGTAACTTGCAGATGTTGCTGTGGCATTTGTAAACTGTCATGACACTGATGGGCGTATCTCTTAGCATGCTAATGCATTATAATTAGTGTATAATGAGCGGTGAGGATGACCAGCAGTCACTTTTGTGGCCATCTTGGTTGAGGTGGGTTTTGGCTGGCTTCTTTACTGCATTCTGTTTTATCAGCAAGGCCTTTGTGACCTGCATCTTGTTGACCTCCTGTTTCATCCTATAACTAAGAATGCCTAACCTCCTGGGAATGAAACCCAGTAGGTCTCAGCCTTGTTTTACCAAACCCCTATTCAAAATGGAGCTGCTCTGGTTCAAATGCCTCCAACAAGACCAATCTTTAAACATTAGCGCAGTGCCACGTTTTTGTTCCCAGGACAAGTCAAGAATCCATGAGGGTAGCAGGTATTGCTAGCATTATTCATATACCTTTGCTTTAAACTGCTTTCTGTATCATTGTAGGGGCACATCTACCATTCTTGATTTTCCAGGAGCTCTGACTCTTTCTGTCAACATACAAGATGTACAGATTCTGTTAAAAGGACTGCAAGGACTGGATTTTGAGGAAATGATATAAGGTATTAAATTTCTTGCTTAAGATGATAGAGAAAAACTCTCATCCACCTTTTCTCAGGTTTTACACTTCTGAATTCTCATGTGTAAATATATTTTATATATCTTAGTTTCACTATAGTTCTACTTTCTTGAGTACTCCTCATGAGATATCAATAAATAATGATAATACCTCATATTTGTACTGATTGTTATACATCTCAAATATTTTACATGCAACTCTCTAGAAAAGATGCGTTAATTGGGCCAGGCACGGTGGCTCATGCCTGTAATCCTAGCACTTTGGGAGGCTGAGGCAGGCAGATCACAAGGTCAGGAGATCAAGACCATCCTGGCTAACACTGTGAAACCCCATCTCTATTGAAAAAAACAAAAAAAAAATTAGCCGGGCTTGGTGTCGGGTGCCTGTAGTCCAAGCTACTTGGGAGGGTGAGGCAGGAGAATGGTGTGAACCTGGATGGCGGAGTTTGCAGTGAGCCAGGATCGGGCCACTGCACTGCAGCCTGGACAACAGAGCGAGACTCTGTCTCAAAGAAAAAAAAAAAAAAAAGATATGTTAATTGATTTGCCAAAGGTCACACAGGAAGTCATTGACCCAGTGTTATACTGAGATTTCCTGACTCCTTGCCCTGTTTCAGGAGAAGTTTCTTCCTTTCAACAAGCATTTCTCCTAGAACTTTCTATTGAGAAAAATTTAGGTGAGGAAAACAAGATGAATTTCAGAGTAGAAAGAAACTGAAGCCAAAGTGAAGATTACTGTCAGAACCTCATCATACTGGAGACCATATTGGTGTGCAAAAATAGCATTATTTTAAAGTTCATTTATCTTAGATTTTTTCCAGAGTGCATCTCATATTATCTCTCCGTAGACTCGTTAACCCTTTTTCTCTCTAAAAACTGTAAGTAGTGATATAAGACAAGATAAAAAGTGTGGTCGACAAACGATACAGCCTTGCGTAAAGTTTGCTTGAAAGTCTGTGAAAGAAATACCAAAACCTTAAGTGTTTAACAGATCCTCAAGTTATTTACCATAGAAAAGCTTTACTTCAGGAAGCAAGGGTACTTCAGAAGAGATGGCCTTGCGCGTGTCTACATGAGAGGAGAGGGAAGGATGTGGGGAATATGATAATTCTACCTTGGATTTCTGAAATACTTGTATTCTGAAACTTTAAAGTACTTTCATATGTTTTATCTCATTTGTGCTGTCAAAACATCTCTGATTACATTGTGCAAAGACTATGACCCATTATTTTACAGATTAGGAATTAAACCCTGGGGAAATGATCTCTCGTGCTGCAGATTACATACAAATGAGGGAGAGATGAATGAAGGGAGGAGGGGGAGAGAAAGAATGAGAGAGAGAAAGAGAGAGAGAGAACTAGAATAGTGGATGCCAATGTAGAATCTTATCTAATGAATTAGAGTCTGGTGAATTTTCTCTGGATGAATTAAGAAAAGGAGATAACAAGTGTTTAAGGCAGGATTCCCAAACTTGGTCGCATATTGGAATTACCTTAGGAGCTTTACATAAATCTCAGTACCTGGTTCCTATTCCCAGAGTCTGATTCTGATTTAAGTGGTTTGAGATGCATCCCAGGTAATGGGATTTTTAAAAAGCTCCTCAAGTAGAACCACTGACTTACGTTTTGGTTGTTAGAGCCTAGGAAAAGAATAGTATAAAATCTGCTGCGTCCACTTTAATACTCATATGACCTTTTAAATTTGAAAACTATGAAGCAATTTACAAAAAAAGAATAGAACAATTGACAATTTAAGATTTAAAAAGCAGATACATTGCAGAAGGATGGTCAGAAAATTGTACTGAGGCATAAGTAAGATTTTCTGTAAACTCAGGTGTCAGGAAATAATTATCTTATTCCTGTGGAATATACAGAAGTGTGAGTGGTATTATGTTATCGTATTGATGTTACATAGAATGAAGGTCTTACCCACAAGGAGAGGTCATTCAAAAATGTCATAATTTGAGGAATAATAACAGTAATTATTATAGGAATATTCTTATTTTTATAGCTATCATAGGAATAATTAGTAACAGCTACTCCTTACTGTGTACTAGGTATTGTTCTTGGTGCATTATCATGTAAAATTGGTTAATTATTACAATGGCTCTTTGTGTTAGATACTATTGCAAACCCAATTTGCAGATGAGAAACTGAGGATGAGGTGAGATTAAGTAATTCACTCAAGAGTACAAAGCTAATTATAATAGTAGGAGAGATGGCTATACTGAATTTCAGAAATGGGCTGGGCTATGCTTCTAAGACTTATAATAAAAAAAACTGGAAAGTGAGCTGAAACCTAGGAGTCTGAATAGTAAATATGCCTTTCTCATGGCAGATATAAAAGACCATAAGGAAAGGAGTGAGCGAGCCCAGCATTTCCCTCACATATACAAGTTCAGAGCAGGAAAAGTGCAGGACCAAGGCAGGAGGCTGTTGGGCTCCAGCATGGGCCTCTTAAGACAACAAGCTAGCTGCAGTAGAATTGCAAACTTCAACTTAGGAAAATACACAATTCTGTGTACACACCTCACATACCCACAACCACACTTGCACACACACTGCTCCTGCACTTTTTTTTTTTTTTGAGATGGAGTCTTTTGCTCTGTCACTCAGGCTGGAGTGCAATGGCACAGTCTCGGCTCACTGCAACCTCCGCCTCCCAGGTTCAAGTAATTCTCCTGCCTCAGCCTCCTGAGTAGCTGAGACTACAGGTGCATGCCACCACACCCGGCTAATTTTTGTTTTTGTTTTTGTTTTTTTTTGGGGGGGTAGAGACAGGGTTTCTCTATGTTGACCAGGCTGCTCTCGAACTCCTGACCTCAGGTGATCCACCTGTCTCGGCCTCCCAAAGTGCTGGGATAACAGGCATGAGCCACCACACCTGGACCTGCTCCTTCACTTTTTGTTCACTGAATTGGTTTCCTAAATTTACTTAACATTTAGCAAGTCTTCGGACACTTTCATTTTATTGTGCCTGTGCTGGGAAGAAAGGAATTTTAGCTACATTTATGCTAATGCATTGAAGGAAAGCCATCAAAAAGGGAACCTTGATCAGGAGCACAAAGTTGGAACCATTTGTCTGAAAAGTAATTATGTTATACAAATACATTCTTGCTAGAAGAGGCACTTTTAGCTACTATCACTGAAGTGATAAGATTTTACATTCTTATTAATTCTCACTAGAATCCTCTGATGTAAGCAGGCAGAATTATCTCAGCTGTACAGGTTAGTAAACCAAGGCTTCAGTACATTAAGATAAACCCACCGCTAACTCTGACATGGGTTCTTTTATTCTTTCTCCTTTACTACAGTTGAATGGAGATGATACATTAACTTTGTTCCTGGGAGTTCCAACTTGGCTTTCTCCCAGGTCGGCAAGATAATGCCTTTAGCAAGCAACAGTGAAGCTTGTTAAACTCCAGATCTTCACCTTGACTGTAGGCCAGGAGAGCCCTCTTTGAAGCCATTAATCTTGATTTAACAATTGTACTTTGTCTTTAATTCTAAACACTAGTTCTTTAGGAAGATTGTTTTCCCTCTTTGACTTTTTTTATTACCCTGAGCCAATTTTCTCTTTTGTATTTCGGCTATCAAACTTTTCTGCCTTGTAGCCTTTCTTCTTTTGCATGTTCTTATTATAAAATAACTAAGGCTTAATTCATTCCATTTGGAAAACAGAAAATAGAGGAAAAAATTATTCATACTAACCATCATCACTGTTGCTATAACATTCTAATATACTTCTCTTTGGGATTCCCCTACACAGATGTTTTTCCCACTCAATTTCATTGTACTCTTGTGGTATATATATAGTTAAAATGTGCCTTTTTACTTAACCCATTAACATTAAAAATTGCCATTTATTAAAACTTTTTGTGAACATAAATTTAATAAATATGTAGTATTTCATTGTCCAACTATATAAAAATAATTTGAAACATCCCTCCTCTTGATGAAAATTTAAGTTTTTCTTCTATTTTTAATTTTTTATTTCAGAAAATTTCAAATATATACAAAAGCAGCAAAAATAGTAGAATGGCTTCCCATGTATATCCCCTGAATTCAGCAATTTTGAACACATGGTTAATTTTTTTTTATTTACATCTCCACCTATTTCTCCTCCTTCAAGTTCATGAATTATTTTGAAGCAAATCCCTATTTATATTTTCAAAACAGTTAAATAAGTGTCACAGATTTTTTTGTGTGTTCAGAAACATCTTCCATTTTTAAAAAAACATATACATAATTGACACTTGGGAGAGAAATTACAGAGTCAAAATTGTTAAGGCCATTCAGACTCTCAATTTTCATAGTGCCAAGTTATTTTTCAAAATGTAGACATTTAGATTCCTTGTCAATCTTATAAGAGTGGTCTTTTAAAATAAAACTCTTTAGAGCATAAATATTAGTTTCCAAATCTTGTTTTCTGCTGGGTGTGGTAGCTCACACTTATAACCTCAGCACTTTGGGAGGCTGAGGTGGGAGGATCACTCAAAGCCAGGAATGTTAGATCCGCCTGGGCAACATGGCAAGGCCCCATCTCTACAAAAAAAAATTTAAAATTAGCCATGTGTGGTGGCACCTGCCTGTGATCCCAGCTACTCAAGAAGCTCAGGTGGAAGGATCACTTGAGTCTGGGAGATCAAGCCTGCAGTGAGCCAAGATCACACCTCTGCACTCTAGCCTGGACAACAGAGCAAGGCCCCAGCTCAAAAAATTTAAAAAAATAAATAAATAAAAATAAATAAATATCTTTTTTTCTTAAATGGATTGGCAAAAAAAATGTATCTTGTTTTATTTTAAAGTATTTTTAAAATTACTAGTTAAGATAAAAAAAACTTTCATTTTAGTTCACCATGCTTCCATATTTGTTAAACATTTTGTTTTGGTGAACTGGTTTTCTTTTGTTTTTCATGTTCCTTGACTATTTATTTATTGGCATATTAGTGGTTTTCTTATTACTATAAAAGTACTATGTTTTT